CTCAAGTCCAAAGTGAAAAAAAAAAGCCACATCAGTTGATTTGCGCTTTTTTTGGTGGAAATATTCACTCAAATAACCCCTTCTGTCTTTTCCCTTCCCACACAAGCTTATGAGAAGTGATTAAGTTCAAGAGGGAGGAGAATCCTTGATTCTGCTTCCCCTCCAGCCTCCCTCCGCACACAAAGCAACCAAACTACCATCCTTAACAGAGCTCTGGGGTGGAAGATTTCCCCATGCTCAGAGCTAGCACATTGCCTACGCCCATCGTAAGTGCTGGTTTGTAGATTTTAGTAGAATGTGAGTCATTCATAGCTGATGCACTCTTACCAGGGGACCTGCATTTTCAGTTTCGGCCATCAGACTGTTTTTATTGAGAAGTTGCTTATACATGTCTTACTACAAATATGTGGTGTTCATGCTACGCCCCTGTACTCTCTGGATGTGTGGCACAGGAAGGCTGAGGCAAGTCAGAAGCAAAGCTGGATGTAGATCTCTTTCATGACTTTGGCAGGGTAAGAATCTTGCTTGTCCTCATTCCAACAGCAGTCAATAGTTTTATGGGCCAAACCAATACAGTGGTAGACAGTGTGCCTCTGACTAGTTTAAACACTACCTAGCTTTTCCTTTGACTCCTGAAGGGGAAGAAACAAATCTAGTAGCTCATAAAGTCAGATACAGCCCAGTTGCTAAGGTAACCCAGTTGATAAGAACAGCACACCAAGAGACAACAACAGGCCTGCCTTTACACTACTTTACACTACCCTCTCCACAAATGCAGAGCAGAACCAAAAGCAGCAGGCAGGGTGGGGCTCTGCAGAGGAATAGCAGTGCTCATCCTCCTAAGCTGCTTGTACGAATGGCATAGGTCTGCCTCAGACACACACGGTGAACCTGCAACTTAGCGGGTTTTATTGGTTCTCAATTCCAACAGGACAGGGAGCCCTTGAGGGGAGTCCACCTGCACCTACCACTGCTCTAGGGCATTCTGCCTTTCACACTCATAAAATCATTTGGTTAGTATCTGCACTGGGCAATGCTTGAGGAAAGAGGTAGTTGTCTCTGTATCCCAAAGTTACAGTACCAGCATTTGCTGTGGATTGGTGAACAAGTCTTTCAGTCCCAGAGAGCTAGCACAGAAAATGACTAAGCAAGCCGGAAATCCCAGGAACCTGCTCAGTGATGCATTTCCCCTCACAAGAAACATCCAGAATTGTGTGAGTTTTAAGCGACTGAATCGAAAGTGAGGTAAATACTAGCATGCCATTATATTAATTTGGATGATTTCCCGCACGCTTGTCCTGGGAGGTGGAGGTGAACATAGATATTTGAAAGAAAAAGGACATTTTTGACACCTAAATAAAATTTGGTTGTGAAAAACTGTCCTGGTTGAAGTCAACAGCAGCGCTCCCAAGGAAAGCTATGGGAGCAGAACTTCAGGATGGCCGCAGTGAGGGTTTCTGGTGGTTGCGGTTCCACCAGTGTTGCAGTTCATGCCTCAGTCATGACACGCTAGGAACACCTGCCAACACAACAACCCCTGCCTGTCCTTGTACCCTGGGGAAGTACCTTTTATGAGATATCAAAGTCCTAACATGTTTGATAACAAAACCCTCCCAGTCAGAGGTGCATTAGCAGCTCAATTGCCATTCTGCAGAAGAGCTGATTTCAGGCCCCTGTTTTGACCGAAACTGCAACCGCGTTAAAAAAAAAAAAAAAAAAAAGGGAAAAAAAAATAGTTTTCATTTTCCCACAGGGTGAAATCCTTGGAGACTCGTTGGGGGGAACCAAGATGGACTAGAGAGCTAAAAGTAAGCCAGACAGGCTGCCTGCTTGCTAGAGTTCAAGTTAGGAGCTCACTACCAACACTGTTGCTGCTTTGAATTACCAGTTTCAGTGGGGAAAACTGTCCATTACACTGCCCTGCTAAACTCCCCTTCTGACACACTGTTAATATTTTGAAGAGGTGGCATAGCTAGATGACTATTGATGCCTGAGTTAGTTAGCTTAACCCTTGCCCAGCATACTTACAGTCTGCCTTTGGGTCATTCCAACACAATGACCTCTGGTTCTGACAATGTTATAGAAAAGACTCGTGCATATTGTGTTGAGAAGATAGCTAAATGTAATTTTAAAAATCTACTCTAGTCACTGATAAATAATATATCGGACCTTAATGAGTAACATACTTTATGCCTCTGCTTGCTAGAAAAGTGTAAAATGGCCTTAGATGAAAAGAGAATAAGACCTTCAACTTCAAATTCTATGCTGTAAAAGGGAAAGTGCTTTACCAGTAAAATTAATATTTTGAGAAACTATATTACATAAAAAGGTAGGAAAGATTTGTCAACGGTGAGCAGAGGCCATTATTTTGTCTGACAGGAAGCCCAGAGCTTTATTGATTGACCTGAAAACACTGTCTTTGTGGATAGTAGGAAGTGAAAACATTGTTTTCTTTCTCAGCACCAAGTAATTGCATGCTGCATTTAAAAACAGACTCTGTCTACAAGTAAACAGGTTTATGAGGCTGTGAGGTATCCTAAGTCTAGGAAGAATTCCTTTTACAATTTAAAATATCTGAGCTGGGAACAGAATGTATTTTGGAGCTCAGCCCAATGTTTTAGCCAGCAGCCCATGGGGCTTCCCTCATCACTATTACCCATGAAAACCACCTGCATTCAAATAGCTAAGCCAGTAGAAATTAAAGGCTCTCCTCTCACCAATATATATATATACTTACATATAAACATACAAGTACTTGGCTCTGGCACTGGACTACTGGTAAACCTTTTCTTTACCCAACCCATTAGTCTTCCTCATCCATAAAATGGAAATAATGCCAGTGACTTTTTAAAAGGCTCTTTATAACAATACATCTTATAGAATCCAAGTGTTACAGTGTTCATGGTCTCATCTCTCTCAAATCAAAGTGGCAAGCCAGGTTGGTCAAAAGCCTCCACGTTAACTACAGCAGTGTCAGCGAAGGTAAGGACACTCGGGTGGAAAATAGATTATGCTAACATAAACCACAAATGCCCTTAAAAAGAAATTATGTAATGGCAAGAGCTCTAAATTGAAGGCAAGAAACACGGGCTGTCTACACTGTAATCTGGGTTTTGTCACCTTTAAATTGGCTGTGAGCTCCTCATACAGTCTAGCTACAGTTCAGGAGCCATTACAACCCAACCTGAATAGCACTACCTTGTGCCTATACAGCAAGTGAGGTTTGCTGGCATTTGCAATTAAAGGACATGAGGCACTGGCAAATTTATCAGCAGAAATCTAAGATGTTAGCAACCACCAGCTATGTAATCACCCAACCCTTGGCCTCATCTGAACTGAATGCTTGAATACACCTCAGGTCTTTTTAGCATGAAATACTTAACCAGCTCTTTAAGACATGCCACCCATGCTGGTGGGTTTAAGCTAACCCACAAGACTGCAAATGAAAGCAGCTAAGCATGCAAATACAGCCTGTGTATAACACTTTAAACTGCTACACATATTTGCCAAGCAACCGTGTTAGGCCTGACTATCCAAGGTCTTTGGTTCTGCTGCCCTGCAAGCAACACAGGGATGGAAAGGACATGGGAGTACTAGTTACAGGGCTTGTGTCACTGGACCCAGTGCACAGCATGTAGAAACCAAGAGATTCCCAATTATATAAAAAATTCCTGACTTTAAATTGAAAACTACACCACCAACAACTCCTCATATTTTTTCTTATATTCTTTTCAGCCAGGGGTTCATTCTTAGAGAACATTTCCTTCTGAAAAATAAAAATTAACAACCCACTGCTCTTCCAGTAGTACTTTATGGAAAGGAAATCTGCAGTGATGCAACCAGTAGTGTATCTTCTCTGCCATAGCATTAAGTACATTTCTTAGCTTGCTGAGAATAGTGTGGGCATAACAATCAAATGGAGAGAGACAAATGTCAGCCAGGCAAAAATATCAAAAGATTAATTTCTGTTACCTATCTCTATTATATGAAATGATCATAGCTCTTGCTGTGTTTGATGTTCGACTAGATGGTGAGATATGTACCTTTTGGATTTAAAGTGGTAAGTCTTAAGAAAATAAAAAGTCTTCCTCATTAAAGCTAAGGCAGCACCACATCTGTAACAAATTTAAGGCATGTAAGGACAAAAAAGAACAAGGTGTTTTAAAAAGTACCTCTCTGGACATGTGTAATACCCCAAAGCAGCTAGGTATCACACTGGCTCGCTGCTGACATAAACGCATGGAATGTTTTGGGGTGTGGTGCATACTCACATCTCTCCAAAGACACTGGTTACTGGAGCATTCAGCATTATTTCTCAAGTGGCTGGATTCCCATTCCCCCCTTTCCCTACCTATTTACAGTTCCAAGTACAAAAAACACTTTCTGTAACCTCAGCTTCCTGATTCAGCTGTTGTGATGTCAGTTATTTACGATAACAAAAGTGAGGCAATGCCTGTGGTTTGTGGGGGACAAAGGCAACCTTGTTTCTCTAAAACGGGGACAATCCTAGTGTGACAAGCACAGGAAAGACACATAGTAGGACTCCGAGGCAGTATGAGCCTCACCATCTCCATAACAGTGGGCTTGACAGTGCATTATCTCAAAGGCCACAAACAGAGGACTTTTTCCTTTCCGTAAGACTGGACATCAATGTGAATGCAACTCTTGGAAAACTACCTCTTTGCAGGGCAAAGTTTTGGAGATAGGTATCTTGGGAAAGAAATGGTTTGCTAGTGGGTAGAGAGACAGTCAGTGTCAGGACACAAATGTTTCAATACCAATTACGTGTTCTGTGGTCACAAGCAAGTCACTCTGCACCTCTGCTTACCTGCCACAAAACTGGCTTAATCATATTTAACCGTCTAAACCACAGATGTGGTGAAACTTGTAGAATGCCAGTAAACTCCTGAGGTCACAGAGTGGCAAACTCTTAATACCCAGCATGGTTAGGTATGAATGAAAAGCGTCAGCTTTGGTGTAGCCTACAGAATGTCACTCACCCGCTATTCTTCCAATTGGCATCGCATGGTCCTCAGGAGGGGATACAGACACCATGATGTGGTTCATATAAGCTAACTCTTCTCGGTGGGACAAGTTGATTGGCTTTACCTCCCTGTGAAGCCCATCCTCAGACAACCTTGGTGGTTTGAAATCGGAGTGCCTGGGGTTCAGTATCAAAGGATGCATAATAGGGCTGGGCATCAGCTGGATGACCCTGGTGTTCTCCTGGCGAGGGCTGGAGGGCTTCTGGAGCACCTCGGAATGAGGCGGGCAGTGGTTGTTTTCTATTGGGGACACTGAGAGAGGATAGGGCTCCTGCTGGCTGTTCTCGTGCTGATGCCTTATCCCCGGCACCCTGTCAGCTGGGGAAAGGCGACGGATAGTGCTGTCCATAGGGGACTTCAGTGGCCGCTGATCGGGATCTGGTGATGGACGGTGGTTGTTGGTGATGGGTGATCTAGAACGATGCAACAGTTCAATGGTTGGGGGGTTGTGGTGGACCGTTTCTGTGGATGGTCTTGAGGGCCTCTGGACAAAGCTATCTGTGGAGAAAAAAAAAATTACAGATCAGCTATATTGTGGTCAAGGTGTAGGATCTAAATGTCACACTGCCAGCTGGACTTACTGGGTACTGCTTGGAAATGTTTGCTTGTTGACTTACTGCTTGTCAGCTTGGAAATGTTTTTATTTGTGTGACCTACAGAGGTCCAGAAAAACACCATATAAATGCAGATATAGTTATTACTACACAGAATGAGATCAGTACCATGAAAACAATCTTCTTCCACCACCACATAAAGGTAGTTCCTGGGGAAATGTGTTAAGAGAAATCCCATTTTGAGTAACTGACTGGAACATACGTAAAGAAAGTAAGATCTGATTCAGCTGTACTGTGTTTCTGTGCAAATGCTTTGAAACTTACCTCCTGCCATTCATGTCTCTACATGTGGCTCCTGTTATTGTACCATGATGAGCACTGTAAGGTAGATGGCAGAGATAAAAAAGGAAAATGTCTCCAGGAAAACATTGGGTACTAAGTTTGAGATGTTAGAAGCTTTCGTCAAGGTGGAGAATATCTTAGTCTGAAATACGGAGTGGGTTATCTACAAAAAGCCCACTGACAGGAAGCTCTTTGTGAAACACTAGCTAAATTTTATCCGTCTTGATATTAAGAGCATGTACCATCAAATAAGGATATTTTCACCTTGTTTTACTTAGTATGTGCTGTCTACTGATGGATTGTCCCAGGAGTCACTTCTAGAATCACTTCTGCATGACTGTACTTCCCCATCTGTGATCCTTAACAGTACAGGGGAGATAAGTCACGGTTCTAGGTCAGCATGTTTACATACTAACAATCCTCTCACAAACTGACATAAACAGTGCAAACTTTCAGTTAGCTAAGGCCATCACTTTTGACTAGAGAAATTACTGACAAAGAGGAAAACACCACCAGAGCGCAGTGACTAACAGGTTTTTACCTGAAAAACAAAGATCAAATTTCACTGCTGTTTATTGAAAGCCTTGGATGGTAAGAGAAGGAAACTGCTGCATACATGTCAAACAGGTAGCTGCCTATTTGTGCCTCCTGTTTGTTCACTCCTTTTGCTCTGATCCTCTTTAAAGATTCTCTCGTTCTCTTGTCAAAGCAGTGATACTCATTGAAGACCCTGTTGAGATGAAGACCTGGGGGCTCCCGCTGCCCTAGAACCCAGGCAGGCATCAGAAGGATCAGCACTTACCCAGGGAGAGGCCTGACCAGAAACTCTAGATCTGAGAAAATGTAGAGCCAGGCAGTGACATGGCACCAATCCTTTTGCCTACTCAACTGGCTGTTCATCTATACAAGTGTACTAAAGTTTACAGAAAACCCTGAGATTTTAGGCAGAAGCTACATGGCTCCAGAATACTCATCTCACACACTTGTGGTCCCAGACAAGAAAAACGCATTTGTACAGCTATTTAAGGTACTCACAGTGAAACAGGTGGAGGACATGAGACTCCAGAGTTATATATTATTCTTGGTTTAACCCAACCAGCTTTAAATACAATGTGGCCACCTAATGTGGGATAGCCCAAATGTTTCCAAAGAGGAATTAATTCACAACTGTACATACCTCTGTGGCTGTCTTTTCTTAAAGACTCCTTTCTTTGCCACAGTAGAAAGAAAACCAACCCCACAATCTTACTCAGTATCCTATCTTCTACAGACCATCCACACTCATCACTGTACATTCAAATGCACGGTGATCATTCTTGGCCTGTAAATATAGACCAGAATATTGTATTGGCTGTCCTACTTACTTAAAGTGCCTTGGCTGGTGGGAGCAGCTATCCTGGAAACAGAAAGGAATGCCCTGATGTGCTTTCCACCAAGCTCTCTGTAAATATTAGCTGGCTCTGAGAAGCTCCACATGGAAGCAGGCCTATCTGTCTGCTTCCAAACCACGGTGATTCTGAACCAAGACAGGAGAGAAGGTAGGGACCAAGAACTCTTTAAAAGCAGCAAGAGGAATAACCACAAATGGATACACACTAGTGTTCACTTTCCTCCAAGGTCCTTCTCTTTAAATACTTAACTAAAGAATCTCCTTATGGTCAAAACTGCTTTTTACCATAAAACAATTAAAACCCAGCTCCAAGCAGTTCCACTGCTGCAGATGACCCTGAACAGGATGAAAACTTCATCACATTCATTCCTTGGCACATCTGATGACTGCAATTTGAGCACAACAGGAACAGATTCACCCATTAGTCTGACTCTTCATTCTGAGTGACCAACACTCTTTGCTTGAAGAGAAAGCTGAGAAAAGGAATTCAGCTCCCAGGAAAACTGCTGACCTATCTGATCCATATAGGGATGGGTAGGGCTGCATTCACTCTGAGAGTGAGCAGTTGCTGGCATGACAATTGCAAAGATTAGCACTCTTCCCTTACCCACAAAAGAAGTGCAGGGAATGACAGTGCAAGCTTCCTGTATGGCATCCCATCAAATGACTCAGTGCTGTGTCAGAAGGACCACTGGAGAATTAGGTAATTCACTCTCGATTGCTCATCCCTCTAACAGGGACAGAGGCTGATGCCCACAGCACAGATTTCAAGCCAATGCCAATGGATCTCGGAGATACCCCGCACCATTGTTAACTGATTTCACAGTCAAACCCACTTTGCTTAAGCTAGTAAAAAGCTACTAGATGCAAATGCTGGTCTCACCTGATTCTGGATTAACTAGGTTGTAGCGAAAGCATTTTGAAGCTGGATCTGAAGTCTATTAGAAAATGGGTAAAAGAGCCAGTAGAAGAAAATGGAAAAGATCACTGGAGTAAGGAGGGATTCTAAAAAAGATCCATCACCTATGAAGTTTAACCACTTGAAATTGTGCCAATTGATACCTGTGTTACAACTTGTGAGTTAAGCAGGGTTAAGCTCTGCTTCTCACATTCATTCTCCTTTTTTTACTAAGCTGCATTCTGCTGATGGAAAATGGTAAACTTAATTGTGCTAGTTTCTCCCAAGTGACTCTGTGAAACAAGAAGAAAGAAGGAGTGTCAAAATGCAAAAATAACTAAATTCACCTGCCTATAAATTCTTGGCATAGATATGTTCTGATTGAAGCTGTAGTTTCTTCTGCTTGTTTTGAAGTTCCTCTCACAGCAAAACAAGAACTGATTTTTGTCATTATAAAGAAAAGTTTTAAGTAATAGGACAGAGTTTTTTAAACAAAATCAGTGGTACTATCAACAGCCAGAGCACTGTGCAGGAGAAATCAAAGTAATTTCTTAATTATCCTGTGTTCTGACTTAAGTTGGACTAAACTGCAAAGGACTTAGGTTTTATGTGACACACATAAAGGCCAACTCAACATGCCCTGTGAAATCCTCTCTAGAGTGAAAGTTGCTCTGTATCTTTAATGTAGGGGTGTCTGAGAGGGCAGCTAGCATTTCTGTTTGAAATTTAAAGAGGAAGCATTTGTGGGTGAATGCCAAGCTTTAGCAAAAAATGGAGATTTTAGTAAAGGTCTCTGGAAGTGCCTATCTTAATACACCAGGCAACCATCTCTTGAACAACTCTGCCAACTCAACTTCATCCTGAACTGTAGCACCCTCTTCTAATCTGAAATATTTACACAGCTGTGTGGAAACACTTTGGAGCATCCTTATCCCACTTGCTGCTGTTCTGCTCTTGGCTTAGTCTCAAAGGTTTGCTGGTGTCATTTGATTCTGGTTTGGTCAGGCTGGCCATGGGCAACTTGTCCAGGTCTGACAGTATCTCTGAATCTTCTCTTGCAATCTTATGTTGAATCTTCAAATGATCTGTGCATCTTTCTTCCAGTTAGCAGAGACTAGGGCAATATCCTAACTCACTTCTATTCTTCTGTTTACTTGAAAAAGGAATAACACTACTTTTTTTCTAGAGGTTTGTTTGGGGTTTTTTAATTGAAAAAGTGAATTCTCCCTCATGCTTTCATGGAAAGGACCTTTTAAAAGGCTTCGGCTTACTATTTTTTCTGTTATTGGAGAAAACTAAGAATTATTTTAGCATGTATGTTTTAAAAGAAAATAAAACCTTAATGTTTCCATTCAAGGAAGCAGACTTGCATTTTGATCTGCACTAATAATGAGTAGAGGAAGCCTAAATCTGCAGTTCCACAAACATACCTGTTTTTTCTTCAGCACCTCTGACAGCCATTGTATGTGTGGACATTACTAGAAGGTTAACTAATAACCTAAGCAAGTAATTCTGATAGTAAAAATGAGAGAAAACCTACAGAAAAAAAAACCTTCTCTAAACATGAATTGCTCAATCGGCTCGAAAGCTGCGCAACATGACAAGCTCAGTGCTAGGAACTCTGGCACGATGTGATGACAGATTGTCAGTTGAAGTGACTTTGATTTACACATTCCTTTCTGAGGCTACCTTCTTTCTCCCTTGCTCTGCAAACAATTACATCTAGTTGCATCTCCTGGGTACCAGAAGTCCCAGCATCTTTGTCTACCTAATTGGTAATGAGGAAAAATGAGTCAATGGGGTCAATAAAACTTTCTTTTCTATGCCAGATTTTTTTAATCTGCATCTGGCATAGCTTTTAAGCAGGCTTTGGAAACAAGACAAAACAACAGAACATAAATGGAGAATGGATGGCTGACTTCCTAGACCAGTTGATTGTTCTAAAGCTATGGAGACAAAGGGAGGACAGTAACCTTATTTAAGTAACTTTGGCACAAGAAAATGACATAATTCCGCACAGCTTTACCCTACTCGCCTCTATAATGGCAGGTCCCATAAGAATGAAACAGAACTACCTTCATCATGATTCTGGTGTAATATGACCTCTGGCTGAGCATGGATTGAGTTCCCAGGGTGGAAGAAAGGTGTGAAGAGCATACGAGCTTTCCGTTGCTTCAGGATATGCTGAAGGAGCTCATACAAAACGTCACCTGAAAGACAAACAGCAGGAAAAAGGAAATGAAAACCTGCATACTGCTGAGAAGACTCTTTTAGCCATCTGATGCATGAATTCATGGCTCCTGGGTGCTATTTTCAGACCCCAAAACGCTTGCAGTAAAATCCTACATTTCACTGATTTGCAAGGTTCTTCCCTGAAAGGAAAAAAAAGCAAAGCTGCACATCATGCCTCTGTGTGTGACTGTGGAAAAATGGGAGAATGACAAGACACAGCTTTTATTACCCCAAAGCAGACTCTTTTTCAGGCTACATGACTGCCCACCCCAGAGCTCCAAACCTTTACAAGCAGTGGTTAGTTCAGTGTCCCACCTCCTCACAGCCTCAGTTTTTTAGACAGACACCTTAGGACACAGAATTCTTAGAGCCCATGACTTATGCAGGGAGTTTCTGGGAGCAAAGACGGTCCTTTTAGTTAATTACTGAGCAATTTACACTTTATGGGGGCAGGATACAGAAGATGTTGTAAAGCCTCAAGGCCACAGGCAGTGTGCTACTAAGATATTCCATTCTAGGAAATCCACAGGAAGAACTCTCACTTGGAGAAGTTACTTTGGGATGGACTCAAAGACTTAAGAGAATGGTGAGATTTACTTATCCTGAGCACCTTTGCTGTGGTGACAACTCCTGGAGATACTTGAGTGCCACAGCTGTCTCAGGAACTTCTCTATGTCACTCCTGGTGTCATGGTTTGGACTTCTGAAAAGCCCAGATGATCCCAAAGGTAGTTACTTCTAGCTTCTAGAATCTGTATGGAGCTCACTTCAAGAGGCACTATTAGACCAAGGATATAAGGCAGACTAAGGAACAAAAGGCAGTGGACTTGCTGCTCTGCATAGGCGAATACAGTCTGTGAGTTGCTACTGTATCACTCTTCCATGGAAATGCCTGCAGTGAATGGAACTGCGCCTTGTGTGAACTGACGAACTGCTTGTTTTCTGCTTTTTAAGTATCACATCTTGTACTGATGTCCTTCCAACATCATCTGCGTAACACCCTAGGTACTTCTACGTTTTGTCTGATGTAACTGGTTGCACATTTCAAAGTGAAAATGTACAACAAAGGGCTAGAAGTCTCAGCTTTTAATTCTGCTTGCTCTCTTTGTCCCTGCTCACGTTACACAGGAACAGGTTGCAGCAGTAGCATACAACTTGAACAAGAACTTTGTGAAGTTTTGCTTGGGAAACCTTGGATTCTCTGGGAGGGTTTTCTCAAGTGTAGGGTTCTTTTTTTCAGTAGCTGTTTCTGTGAAATTGTAAAGCTGTGTGCCGTTCGCCCCTTGTCTCTATGAACTCCCAGTGCTCTATCTGTGGGAAAGTTCAGTGAATAGCGTTAAACAGTTAAATCCATCCTGCTTTCCATGATTCAGCTTCCTTTATTTTTAGCATCTTGGCTGCTTTTACTGTCTCAGCAGTGACTTTAGGGCATTTTTAAAAGGTGATTGCAATACCTGAAAATCTACTTAAAAACAAAGCCTCGAGAACCCAGCTACCTTTTCCATGTTTGGTTCATGAAAGGCTAAAAAGTGATTTTGCCACATAATTTGCATCCTTGAATGCAACAGTGCCATAAAATCATAACTAGTGCTGTAACACTCCAAGCAACAAGGTAGCAAATTTGTACCTCTTTTGATTCGGCCTGACAGACCTGTGAAAACATCCATAAACCTGGCTATCTTTATTTTTTTTACCTAACAAAACAGTTATGTCTCTGCACCAGCCAGATGTAGTAATGCTAGTTAAGAAGGTGAAAAGCATTTCTCACTCTCCTTCCTCTGCTGCCTCCTTTCCCTGGCCAGCCCTAAACAGGATAATAGCTGTGGGGCTGTGAGCCCACTTTATTGCTAGGACCGCTCTGGGGAGCAGATGCGGTTCTCCTGGTTTAGCCATGAGGGACAAGGGTACAGTTTTTATGCAGCTACAATCTTGAACAACTTAATGCCTCTATGGCAAACATTACTTCATAGTTCTTAAATTTCACATAGAGTTAATAATCTGGGAGATACAGAGGTAATGTCCCTTTATCTACAGTCATCTAGATTTTTAAAGACTGACTCAGATGTCCTCAAAAAGGTTTATTATCAGTGGGAAATACCTGGAGAGAAGAAGGAGAGACAAAGCAAAGGAGGAAGTCTTTAGTTTGGTTATTTCATTCCAAATGTAGAAAACTAAGAGTTTAACCTTCTGCATAAAGGGAGGCTTTGCAAGCCAAAGGTTCTTCTTTGGGAACACTCTATTTCCAGCCTACAAACATTTTGATCCTACTAATTTCAAGTGCCCTCACAGCATACAAGGGGAAGAGCAGGGGCATAACTTGCAGGCAGCAAGGCACTGGGATGATAAGGGGAGCTGCAGACAAGATACATAAAAGTGTCCCCTACAATCCTTGTCCACATCCCTACTTCCAATGCTTCTTTTGCCTTTAGCAGGGCTAATTTTCTAATGAAACAATTCAAAGCTTCTAGTCATCAGTTTTCACTACTGCATTACACTGTCAATAAACATTAATGTTTGGCCTTTCCTTCCATACAAAATTAGTCCTGGATTCAAAGTACATGCATATAAAACTTTATATACACTAAACATAGGCCACAGTTTGTGAGGCAGATTCTGCAGGACGATGGTTGGGGGGATGCATTCCAGTGAGTTGCCAAGCAGCTTGGTGCAGAATTAGTGCCATGGCTTGTTTATCAGCTGGATCCAAGCAGCACCAGCTGTACTTCAGCACCTAGTGAACCTCCTCACGGCAATTCTGTCACTGCTTGGTCCAAACTCTGATCACCTATGGTGACAGACTTATGAGCCTTTATGTTTAAGAGGAGTACCCTGTAGGGTCACAAAACAAAAGCTCACAAATCACATTTAGCTAAACATCCCTGACAAAGGAGGGCAGAAGCTTACTCTGCCTGTGAAACTGGAGCAGACAGACCCCAGGGGATATAAATACAGGCAGGCAATATACACATTTCTACATCTTCTTTGTGAATAAATGAAGACATAATTTGAGCAATAAGCAGACTGATTCACACACCTGTTTGTGCTGTGCCTTGGGCTGGACTCCAGCACAAGATGAGAGAATAAGGTAAAGTAAAGCCCACAGGGGCTGTGAAACAGAGGAAAGGTTCCCCAGGGAAGAGTTTTGCAGTCACTTTTAGCAACACATCAGCCAAGCCAACTGTGAGGCAAAATGCTAATATGGGCTTCTTTAAGAGGCTGGAGCATTTGGTTAACTTCCTGCTGTAGTTGGGTCTGTGAAAAGATAAGCCTTTACAGGGAAAAGCAAATGTCAAAAAGTGCTGCCAGAGAAGGTTGCTTTCTGGGACTTTTACAGGGAGGTTTAACTAGAAATGGATTCGATATTTAGGTTTGAATTTGCATTAAAATTTGCTTACAACTCAGGTGTATCAGGGTTTCATTCCCTCCTTGCCCCATACAATGTGTTTCTGTCCTCCCTCCCCTCACCCAGTCCACACCAACAAATGTGACCATTTCCTGCTCTGATCCTCTCCAGATTTCTTGGCAGCTTCCTCCCTCTTTTCAATCACAGCTTCTGTAAATAATCCTTACCTGAATGAGGAGACCGGTAGCGAAAGTCCTCTTTGGTCAGAAGCAGCAGAGCCTTGCCGTTCATCTCAAAAGTGCTGCTCTCAATTGGCCTCAAGGAAAACTCCTTCTCTGCCCACTTGAGCCACTGTGCCACATCATCCCTGCTCCAGTAAACAGGCTGCAAACCTATGGCAGGAAGAGATCACAATTTTGTTACCAAATTGAGACAAGGCATGGGAATACAGACAAACATCAATGAATCCTCCCTTCTCCCCACACCATAACTTGCAAAGTCTCAGGGGAAGGTACAGGAAAGGCATGTCATGTTCACGCAGAAATACTCTAAGCACTGGACTGTGAAATATTTCATTAGTTTAGGCACCTTGGTTTATCTGTGACATACCGAGAAACAAGAACTACCTCAACATCCTGAAACAAGCTTCTAGGACATTATTCCATTCCAGGTTTCCACTGTGAAATGGAACTTTCTTCCCACTGCTTCTTCTGAGGTGCAGAGCAGTCAGGAGGCAAAGTCCTTGACCCCATCCATCCTCGGTGTGTATCCTTTCCTAGAACAGAGGTATGCTCTCTCCTCATGCCCCTTGTAAAGTCATTGATGAAGAACAATAGCTCACACAGCAGATGCCAGAGAGCTATGCCTGTATGACCTTTTAGGTGTCTGGGGTCTGTAAAGAAGGGCTGCTTATGCAAGTGGTTATCAGTATGGGTATGGTTGAGAAAGGTGTATTCAGACTGGCCCACCACTCCTACAGACGCTATTGTGCTAGCAGGTGTTATTCCCAACACTGGAGAGGAACAGAAGTGCTGAGGCTGTGGCATCTTCAGCACTGCTTTAGCTTGTGTTTCCTGCATAGGTATAAAATACTACAATGTAACTCTGTCCATAGAAGAGTGGTGTTCCATTTTATAGTAAAACAGCAGGTATGTTCAGTTTGGGCACAGAGAGAAGAAAGAAAATCTGGCACTCCATTTCTCCCAGCCAGCTCTTACAGCATATACAGTCTAGTCTACTGTGTTTACTCACAGGGGCCCAACCAAGGTACCATGAAAGTCAAACACCTTTTGCCTGCTACCTTTACTAGGCTCAGGCAGATCAGCCTGTGAGGTGTGACAATTCAATATCTGTTTTCCAGACAAATCTAAAATAGCTTCATCCCTGGAGACAGAAGGCAGCAGGGTGAAGAGCTGTTTATACCCAGGTAGAGAGATTATCTCCAATCCATTGGGAGAAAAAAAGCTTTCTTTTCCTTTCCCCCTCATGAGATGACTCATTGTTTGACTTGCTACAAAGCTTCAAACTGTGCATAGGAACACAAAATTTGCTGTATCTGATCAGATCTCTGGTACACAGCCTCTGGCAGGGGCTAATACCTTACACTTCAGAGGAAGACGAACTTTCCTTCCTCATATTGCAGCACCTGGCTGATTGTATGCTGCACATGGGAAGAAATTTCCTTCCTGGCACACCGTTCTCTGAGATCTGATTACCCTCCTCCTACCAAGCACTAAAAGAAACCTGGGAGAGTTGTACCACTGTTTTGTTTTGGTTTTTACCTCTTTAATAGACAGGCAACCCTATTTTCTGTTTCAGCAAGAGGTCACAGGCAGTGAATTGCATTCTGCTGCTATACCAGATTCCCAGACGGCAGCTTTGGAAAGTCCCAGAGCCACAGCTGTATACAGAACTGAATCTCAGTCGGAAAAGGAATTGAGATCAAGCCTGAGAACAGGTCAGAGCTGACCTAAGGAAGAGACGTCTGCATGGCAGCAGCAAGAATTCCCATTGGCTTTCAACTGCCCCTTAAGCACTGTATTATGTACCACACAGGAACAAGAAGTAGCATTTATTTATTTACTCATGAAGGACTTAAATTCTCCTCCCACTGAATTAGGGTCTGATTATTGAGGTCAGAGTTTTCTGCAGGACCTTTCTTTTTATAAGGAGTGGGGTGAGGTGTAGACCTGCTCAGATACATGGAAACCACCATCTAAAATGCGAGAATGAGGTCCATCTTTCACCGACTACAGGGCTATTCCTGCAGAGAACACACTCCAGACCCCATGCCACTGCTGGGCAGCATGTATACTGACTGCAGTTAAAAGAGAAAGAAGTCAGACGTGATACAGCCAGACCACAATACATGAAAGATTTTACAAGCCTATCTGAGGAGTGCTTGAAATGCTCATGCACAGTTTCTTTCCACCTTGCCATGTCATGCAAGTGACAAACTGCCTAAAACTAGCACATGGAAATCTAACTTGATTTCTGACATGTACTCCACAAGATGAGGACCAAAACGAAACATCATTGGGAAAATCAGGCCAACACGGACAGAGCTGTATGATAACTTCACGTGAGGTGCATATTCCCTTATTGATAACAACGTAATCAATCATTTGCTGTACAAACACAGATCAATGTTTCCCATGTGCTGGTAACAGCGTATTTTCCCCTTCCGTTCAACTAATACAAAAATATGTCCAAAGAGAGGTTTGGATTGATCATCGCTAGACCCAGAAGAGCCAAATAAGCTGCAGTGACTGGGACTACCACGTGGCAACTCTGGAACAGACCCAAAAGTTCACACTGCGAATCAGGTCTCTGCTGGGTTTCAGCAGCACATCTGAAGCTCATGAGAAAAGCCCCAGCGTAGTATGACCTAGAACCATTTGGCTTCTAGTTACTGGGGATCAGCAAGCAGGCCGCCTAGTTCAGCTTGGCTGTCACTAACAAGAGCCTTACTTACAAACACATTGTGTTTGGAAGACACAAAGTGCCATAAAGTAAGTTCACAGCTTTTCCCTAGCCTGATCACCTCTCCTCCCATTTCCCTCCCTCCTGGCTCTGCTGTTTTCCTGGGAAGTTAAATTTCTTCCAAAGCCTCTGTTTAGCTGCCTGCCTTCACTCCATGCCCACTTGCTTTGTGAGGCCTAACCAATTCGGTCACTGGCGGAGGCTATTCTGGGGGTGGAGGCCGGTGTTGTTGAAAGTGCTTCGGAAACTACCATTCAAAAAGTAATTCTTTCGTGTGCAGTACAGCATTTACTAAACTGATACTCCACCTCCTTTGCCCTTTCTTAAAAAGAAGCAGTTGGGCTTGTGAAAACAAGGGCATGAGAGGGTTGGCTTTGCAGCTGAAGGGACTTTATAGTACAGCACACATAGCTATCAGTAGGTCCTGAAAATGTTTTCCTGTACTCTCCATGAAAGAAAAACTAATCCCACTTACATTTTTCCTTTTAGATGCTGTTTCTTATTTTCCCCTCTCCATCTTCTTTTTTATTGTCATGCCCATAGCAGAAGAAAATAGGTTCTTTTTATCTCTCCAGTTTTATTCTCTGTGAAAGCTAACAGCATTGTCTTCAGCTAACAAAGGTACTTACCAAGCAGAATAAAGTGAGGAAAATTAGTGCTGTGCTACAAAACATAGTTTTGCCTGCTGAACTCACTGCTGGAATCAGTGTGAAGGCTTTGCTGCCTTTGGTAGGTGTGGATCAGATATGGGGGATGATGCCTTTCTCCCAGTCTGCCCTCACCACAGACTTCATAGGGTAAATAGTGACCTGGGAGTCAGACTTGGCTCTGCTCTCATCTCTGCTGCTGCTCTGCTGGATGAAATCTGGCAAGCATTCTCAACCTTGGTCTCCCTACCTGCCTAGCAAAAAATAACCAGCAAAAACTTCTTGAACTTAACAGCTGAAAGCAGGTTAGCCAAAGCCATGTAAACCATTATCTGTCTCTGAGAGGTCCATTCTCTAGCCTGTCTTCTGAGAGCTTCCAAGCACCACTTTCAGCAGAGTAAAATACAATGATTTATAGACATGTTTATGATCTGACAGCTTCATATACATTAAACAGAGAGCAAAATTAGTGGTCACCTTTCTAATGCCACAGGCTCCTGCACTAGTGTCTTTAATAGATTATCTATGTCTGCTGCTTTTTTCCTCACTGAAATCCTGTTTCTAACACCTCTTGAGCTATCTACCTTGTAAATGATGAGAGCTATCAATTCTCATGCTGCAGGGCACAAGCTGATAACCATCTGTATTGCAGAGGCAATCCACTCTGTTCCTATTTGTGGCCAGCAAAAAGAAGTACAATGAAGAGGGGCTGATGGGGTAATTTACACCTTGAAGTAGCCAGTCAACTTGTTTAGGTTTGTTTAAGCACTTACACTGGTAGACATGCACACATGCATGCAGTATAATGTATTGTTCTGTTGAAGAGGTGATAAGCTGATGGTCTCTGAAGAGTTCACTCTTTTTGACAGTGAACCCCTCAGGAAACTTGAGGTTGGAAATACTGAGTGTTTTGCTCACCTAGTATAATCTTCTGCACGTAAAACTACACAGCCAGTGGTATTTGCATCTGACCACAAACTTCTGGGGGGTTACAACTTTGATTTTTGAAGAGATGTAGCCAACCTTGAATCTTGCGAAGCACTCATACTCAGCATCGCTGCTTTGGAAGACAGAATATTTGTTTTACAGTATGAGTTGCTACGTTCAATGTATGTAACAGATACATCTAAAACATGAAGTATAATGTACCGTAGGCTTTTTTCATCTTGACTCATTTTGGAACAATCTGAAGACACAAATCCAATGCTAAATGTACAGTACCCACCGAGAGCTGCTGTTCTGTTTCAGTTTCAGTATGAGGACTCAACCACAGGACAGCATGCATGGTGGAAACAGCGTTCACAGTAAGTTTTATCTAACTTTTTCTTCCACTTTGGCCAGGCACTCTATGCTTACACCTGGCTGCCTGGCAGGCAGGATGATGAGGCGAGAAGGGGTTACAGACAGACCTCTTATTTATCCCTGCTTTCTGCAGAGCAGACAGAATTGTTCTCATTCCCACGCCAAAAACTACTTACTACAGTTGGGCAAACAGCAAAGGGGCCAGCACATGCAAATCAGCAGCTGGTTCCAAACACCCAGGGACAGATGCATCACCACCGGCAGCATCAGGCAGGCCAGCTGACTACAGGACAGTAGCCTTCAGTGGGAAAATGATGCTGCACGAGTTGAGAAGAATGTCTGCTACCAACCAGCTCTTTAGCAACTGAAGCTCTCTTTTCTGTTATTAAGAAAATTCTTCCATGTTACCCATAAAGCACAATATACGGTTCTGCAAATCATGGTGAATGTCAAGCTGGACA